GCAGCCCTGAAAAACAAGGGGCAGGTGCACTGGAGGTCCCTGGGCAGGCAACCTTTCCGTCCTGGGCACAGCAGGGGCAAACAGCACTGGCTGCTTGAAGTCACCTGGTCCTGGCCCTCCAGGAAAGATGTCCCTTGATTCAGGAACAGTGAATTCTGAATGGTGGCCAGACCGTTCTTCTAAACAAGGGTCTCTGAGAAATATGGGAGAGCCAGACTCTTCTAGAGGAGGTGGCGGAGTTATTCTGGGGGACTACACCCTCAAAGAGCCATCCAAGGTCCCATTCCTGGCTCAGCCATTGACCTCTGCGTGAACTGGTTACCCCTGGGTCTATGTGTCCCAACCTGTGAAAGACGGGATTGGGATTGGGCAGATGGTCTGTGATTCTCCCTTCCTCGTGTGCGTGTACACAGAAGTACACACATGTGCTGTCAGTGCGCGTGGTTGTTGCACACGTGTCTGCTGGCAGCATGTGGGCAGAGGTGGCAGTGTGCGTGTGTATGTCAGAGCACTGTGGCGTGTGTGCATGTGCGTCGATGCGTCCATTGTGTTCTCCTGATTACAAGGACAGAGTCTTGCTCCAGCTCTTTCCTTTGGTCGTTTTGGCCTCTTAAATAGCAGAGGGTCTCTTCAGAAGCAAAGCTGTTTGCAAATGGAGGCACTCCTAGCAGATAGGGCAGGTTCCGCTGGGTCTCTCCTGCTCTGCAATACAAGGGCCCCATGCGGTTTGTTGCAAGGCCTACTGGAGAGTTGTGCAAGCCAGGTCTAAACCAGGGAGACAGCAGGTGGTGGTGGTTAAGGCACTGGAACTCCCACAGAGCAGACTGCAGTTCGAGTCCTAGACCTGGTGGCTTGCTTTCTCACTTCCTCTCTCTCACTCTCTCCGTTCCTCTTTGGTTAAATTAAAACAAGTAAGTAAATAAATAAAGTTTAATAAAATTCTTATTTTTTTTTAATAAAGGGCAGATGAACCAAAGAAAACCAAATAGCTCAGTTTCCCAGGAGAGAAGCAACAAGAAACGGCATCAGCCGGACTTCCCGAGGGAACGGGCAGATGGGTACGCAGTCACTGTCCCCTCAGGCTGGAGGCCCTTCACGCAGGGGGCTTCTAGGGGCTGCCTGAAGCCAATGGGGCTTAGGTGTCGCTCAGGCTCCTTTCAAGGCCCTGACCACATTTTGTATTCATAATTATGGACCCACAGAATTACCTCGGCCTCAGGCCTGTAGTAGATTGACTAGTGGTTCCTTCACGGCCACACACTCTGTGACTCGCACCTCCGTGACACTGGGCCAGCCCTGTGACTACTGTTCCCAACGCAGCGGCAGGGACAGACTGGCAGCTCCCAGCCTGCTGCAGGGGCCTCCTGCATGTCCTTGCGTTCTGTCAGGTCTCTGCATCTGCCTCAGAATATGCCAGGGCTGCTGCGTGGGCATTAGTCACACAGCCCAGCCCAACTGTCCACCACGAGCCAGCAGGCTGCAGACATGCCAGGGTGCCCAGCTGAGGCCAGGCGGGGCACCGATCTCGATCGCCAGCTCACCAACTCGTGCACTGCTGGGCCGGTTTCTTGCAGCACTTTTGTATGAAAACTAAAGGAAGGGCCCGTTCCACGGCACAGCAATGGTGGGTTACACAAGCAGGGCCAGAATCCACAGGCTGGAGGGTTCAAGTCCCTAGCCTGGTCGGCCTGAAACATTCCAGGTGTGCACGTTGAGTGCCTGAGATCTGACAGGCTGAAGGACTGGAGGGAGAGGATCGCAGCGTGGCCAGGCCCTGTGGAGGCGTGGGGTGCTCCTCTCCCCGTCTCTCTGATTTGCACATGCATGCACTCATCATAAATGAAGAAAAATAAATAAGTAAAACTAAAGGAAGCCCTAAAGTCTAGAGCCACCCCTATGGCGATGGCCTCCCGGCCCCCCCAGACACTTTTAGCCACCCACTGTTTCTGCTCACTCTGAGTCCCTCCTCTCTCTATCTGTCCCTCTGACCTATTCACAACAGCCCTCTCTGCCTGTCCTGTCCCTAGACCCCACCTTCACTGCCCCCTGAGATATCCTGGCCTCAGCAGACCTCACAGTTATAGAGACACCAGTGGCTCGTGTCCCTCAATAACACTGGTCTAATTCTCAAAAGCAATGCATGCTCACTTCAGAAAACTGGATTGCGACATACAGTAAGGTCAAAGCAAACCCCAAACAGGGCTTAATTGCCCCTAATCTCACCACCCTGAAATAATCGCTTTTAGCATTAGAGTTATACCTCACTCATCTTTTATCGTTTGTGGCAGAAATGTGTGGTTTATTTCAGGAATCAGACAGAGGCCCTAATGTATTGGGTGAACTCACAGCACTTGGCAGATTTCCAATAGATTTGAGGGAGACATATTTGCAAACAGTATACCTAAGAAGGAATGAATAATCAGGATATGCAAGGAACTTAAACAAACTAGCAGGGGGAAAAAAAATTCAATAACGGGCAAACGGCCTGAATAAATAGTTCTCATAAAAAGGCATGCAAACATATGAAAAAATGCTCAACTTCACTAATCATTAGGGAAATGAGAATCAAAGCCACAGTGAGATACCATCTTACTCCAACTATTCCATAGAACGGCTACTATTCAAAGGACAAAAAATAAAAGCAAACGCCGGCAAGGACAGAAAGAAAGGGGAACTGTTTTGCACTAGCAGTGGGAATGTGAATGAGCCCAGCCGTTACGGAAACCAGGACGGAGGTTCTGTGAGAAGAGAACCCTTGTGATCCAGCAATCGCAGTACTGCACACGTACCCACAGGCAAGGTTCAGCATGTCGTAAAGATACCCACTCCCGCGTTTACTGTAGTGCTAGCCACACTGGCCGAGAGACGGAACCAATCTAAGCATCCATCATCAGAACCAACGCATAAAGCAAATGTGGTTAAGGCACTGGGCTCCTACATGGCCGACTATGGTTCGAGTCTCAAACCTGGCAGCTTGAAACTCATGCCGGGCACGTGTGCATGGGTGCCCAAAATCCCAGGAGGAGAATAGAGGAAAAGAGATTG